CTGCTTTTTGGGGTGGATATTGGGTAACAGGCTTGGTTAAGACTAAGAAACTCCAGGGTAAGAAGAGCTGTGCTTTAATAGCTGTGAAAGAATATTATCTAAACATGAAATAATAACATGCTTGGTGTCTAATACATTCTAAATTAAAATGTGATTTAATAAACACAGGCAACATATTCCCCATAAAAAAAATAGCAGAATTGGCAGAACAAAAATCACAGTTTAGTCAGTTCTTCTCTTAACCTTGCAATCCTTTGGCTACAAATTAGAATTTCTGTGAACAAGATTGATAAGGGAAATTAGGCACTGTCTTTCAGGAACAACAGCAATGTTTTGAGATGGTATGTTTAGAGATGAGCAGCACCCAATCTATCAAAATATGAAACCTTTCATATTTACTGGGAGGAAAATACAGGAACCCCAAAAGGCAAAATCTTATCAGCCCAATGAGCCCTATGTTCTATGTCCTATGACACATGCTGCTAATTTGAAGGAGTTTATGTACCTAAACTTCTTCTTTCCTTAATTTAATCTCCTGTTTCAACCCTAACCCAAAAACAGTCAGGATATGAATGCAGTCCCTCAGCCTCACTCTCCCTTGCAGCTGGTTGGGCTGCTAACAAAAGTCCCCAAAACCCACACTGAACACGTATACAGCTGTAGGGGTTTGAGGCAAAAGCAGTTAGTTGCTCTGTGAAAGGGTAATCACAGTTGTATTAGATGCAACTGTATTAGACTGTATAGATGCACTATTTCTACATGGATTTACACACCCCCGAAATGCTGACAGGGTTCAGAGGCATAAACATTTCACACAAAATCTTTGCTATGTATGTAGGGGAGACCCCAGTACAGTGGATCCTCCAATCCACATTCAGGTCTTACTAAAAAAAAGCTGGCTATGGCTAAAAAGAAGTGAAGAAAAACTGTTAATAATAATCACTTTCACTTTGAGAGGCATTCTAAATCTTAAATATGAGTAGTAAAACAAAACTCAGTTGCCCATGGGCCAACAAAAATTGCTGAGGTCTACCTTAGTTAAACATAAAAAGGAAGAGAAGCTGTTCCATTACACACATATTTATCCTTTCACATAAAGTCCCTACAGAAATTCCACATTATTGAATGATATTTTTTTCAGGCTGCTTTACAAAGCAACCCATTGGTTCAGTGGAAGCTGTTGCTTCTACTTTAAAACTGTCCCAGGCCAAAGAACATGAGTGTTCCCGAAAGTCACAGTCCTGCTGCTGCTTCCAAATAAGCTCAAGCCGCTGCCACCTGAAACCATGGTAGTGAGAACATGGAAAGAAGATGGAGCAAGAAGGTGTAGTTGTTCCTCCCTGACCTGTTTACCCATAATATCTACAACCTTTAAAGCACAAGAGTGACAAAATACAGACAACACTGGTAGCACCTGCATCTGCCCTGCAGTGGGCACCTGCCTGAGCAGCTGGTGTGTTTGTGGTGTGCAGTCCTGCCCTGAGACTGCAGTGGTGGGGAGTGTTGCTGCTTGGTTTCATAGAGTTGCAGATTTTAGCAGCAGAGAATGGGTCTGCAGAAGCTTATTTTAAAGGAACCATTCTGTTTCCTGGGACTATCTGAGATCCTGCACTCTAAAACGACGTCTGGCCACATACTGGAAGTTTGGTACTTCAAGTATGTCATGTGAGAGCATCAATAAACAGAACGAAGTTAAAAGCAGATAGATAAAACCGCAAGCCATGAAGCACACACCCCTAGGGGTTCATGACTCAGGGCCTGGGGACTGAAAGCCTTTGCTATGGAGGAATAAGGACAAGGGTTGCATACAGGAGGCTCTTTAATGGCATCTCCCTAATTGAAATAATTTTTAAAAGAAAAAAAAAATTTCTCCAGGACTGGAGAAACAAATGCTACCTTAGATTAGTGAAACAGTAGCATTTTAACTATGAGGAGAGTGCACAACCTATTTGTAGCTATGCCATGTGAATTATTCTGGATATTCTTTTTATATTAGACATGGGTAAAAAAAAAATCTTTATAAATATGGGCTGTTTTAATATCCCAAAGCAGGAGCAGCAGGTAAGAACTTACCATTTTCTGGCTGGTCCTTAATATCAGCTTCACTTGGCTGGCTGGGACTTTCAGATTGACTTGAATCTGAAAAACATAAAATACAGCCAAAAATTACAGGGTCTGCTGTGGAAAATAGATCAGAGGCGCCAGACTTCCTCAAAAGGCTGAGAGTACAAACTAAGGACAGGAGTGTTGCACTAGGACATGATAATGCAAAAGTCCCGTGCCTAGGTAGTATGTTTGCTAAAAAAAAAGGGAATCTTGTTTATGGCACTGCACAGAGTGCTTGGGGTGTGTGTGTTAGCATAAATTAAGCTTTGAGAATCCTTCTTTTTAAAGAAGGCATATTTAAATGACTCTCCTACATGTTTTTTTATAATGCAGCCTCTATGTTGTATACAAACCGGAGCCTTAATCCAACACATAGTAAAGTCTCAAAACATCTTCAAGCAGGCATAGAAAGGTAACTAAGCAACACTACAAAGTCGTGGAGATTGTTGGCTACACATTTTCTGGAACAAAATCTGCAAAACTGGGAGAGGAGCTCATTTTGGCGTACTTTGGCAGTGGTTACAGTACTACAAGATCCCTAAAATGTTTGGTGTTGATGGTGCCTTGCAGTGGGACAAATGAGACCAGATACTGGACGACCTCCTTTAGAACTTGTGTAAATAATCCTACAAACTTCCAGCTAGCACTCTCCAACAAGCACAATTTATTTGCCTAAAATAATAAAAAGAGCTATAAAAGGATATGTGTAAATATGAGTGTTTTGCATTTTTTACACATTATTAACTCTACTTTATGTGAAGATGATCTCTCTTTGGTCCAAAAATTATTCTTAGTTGAAGCTTTAGTCAAAGAGTATTTTCCTTCTCAATTATTTCTATCACTATGAATTGGGAAAAAAAGGTCCCTTAACCTGTGGGAAAATGACAGATTTTAAAAAAATCCCTCAAATAAATGTTTTTGTGATGAATACAAATTTTCCTTCTCTCCTCAGAAATTATTCTGTGATTTATTGATCCTATAAAAAAAAGTTTTCCCTGTGAAACAAAACTCAGACGATGAAACCACTTGCTACTGCCTCGAAACCACCCCTAACCATGGCAAACCTATTTTCTGACTTCACCTTGACTTTGCAGAGTTTGGAATTAGCTGTCTGAAATTTGACCACATTTCAGTGAGAAGTCAATGCAAGATCAAAAGGTCACGACACTTAACTGTGATTAAATTGAAAATCTTACTTCTATTGCAACAGAGTCATAACACCACCCCTTCTTTTTCTTTGAGGTATTAATAGCGCTGGAAGAAGCAGTACTACTAGTGACCTTGGGTCAAGCAATGCTAATTTATTGCTTTAAAAAGGTTCCTTGCTTTTAAGCAAATGAAGATTTTAATTACTGCAGAGCACTATAAAGAAAATGCCTATTTTAAATATTCAAATTTTTTTTTTTTACCTGCTGACTGTCTGCTTTAGGTATCATTCAGAAGCTTAGAGGACAATCTTGTATAAATTAAAAACTACAGGTAAAAAAAGTGCTCACAAACCAAAATTTGACCAATTTCAGAACATAAACAATTCAGAATCTTTAGCAAAGAACCTTCAGTCCTGATACTTCTATTTAAAATCAATTAAATCTTACTAAAAAGTGTGTCCAGAACTCATTTCCTCTCTTTTGTATTTATTATTTTCAACTATTTCTCTGTTGAAGCTCAATGAAAAAAAATTTCTCACTTCTGCAATTTTGTTTTAAATATTGATCTTCTCAGTCATCCTTCCCTGAGGCTCAAATCAGTGCCAGCAGATAGACCATGGGGTAACATGCACAGCGCTGTTATATTCTGGACACTCAGTTTTGGCAAGAAGTTTCACGTTTCCAATATGGCAAAGGTAGAAACAAAGGTAAAATATAAGGAATGTAAAATATTTAGTTAACATTCAAAGTCAACATTCAACGGATTTAATTTTACAGGGCAGGAATTAGTCTTTTGCTTATTTTTTAGGTTTTTCTTTTTCCTCCAGCCAGCCATGGCTCAATCAGCCTTTGGGCTTTATGTCTAAAGTAGGCTCCGAAATCCACAAAAATTTATAGATTTGGAAAAGTTACTGCTGAAACATGGGACTCAAAGCATGTTTTCCTTTCAAAATTTGCGACAATCCAGGGCAGCAGCGAGAGGGACGAAGGCTCGGTGGCAGCCGCGCAAGCCGGGCTCGGCGCTGGCATGCTCGGCCCCAGCCTGGCACCTTGGCTCCAGCACAGCCCTGCAGCCGGTGGGCAGCACACCCCGCCCGAGCTGCTCCTGGATTTTGAGAAACAAAGTACTTTTGTTTGCGTTGAGTGCTGTTTTTCCAACGCCAAAGCTAGTGGCACAAGAGAGACTCTACTGGCTGTAGGACATTTGTTTGCACACTGAATCTTAACTTTCTTCTTTTCTTACTCTGGCTACTGCGATAACATTTTTCCTAATTCTGTTTTCCTGTAACCCACCCCTTCTGCTGAAACTAAATATTAATTTCTTTTAAAAAAAGAAAGAGACAACAACGGCTATAAGCACTATTCTTCACGGAGAGGCACAGGGCAGTAAAACGCAGGATGAGGTAGAATTAAAGCCACTCTATACCGCGGTAGGGATCACGGGAGGCTACCGAAAACGCGTACTGGGCAAGCGTATGCTCAGCATTGTTATGCAAGGTGGCATCTTGTGGAAACCCCAGATAAGAAGACTGAGTTAAGGCACTTAGCCAAAATGTTTATATGCAGAATTTTGCTTCCCTGATTTTATTCAGATGCCGCAGATGATCCGGTACATATAAATGTGCCGCCACATGGTTAAGGGATTGGCAAAACCAGAGCCGTTGTGTTTTACAGTCTTGCCTAGGACGAGGGAGTCTTGCTCAGCCTCCACCGCTCACTCTCTGCTTTTTCAGCAGTTGGCATTAACTCCTGTCGGGGCTTTTTTGTTGTTTTGCACATGGAAACTTTCAAATTCCAGTTTTCTAAGCGTTTAGTGTTTTGCGGGCTCGGCTACAGTGGGAGGGGGAATGTCTGTCCTGCTGAGTCAGGAAGCCAAACAGGTGACCGGAGGAATAAATTAATTTTTGCCCATACATAATTGATATAAATGGAAGATCGTTTTCATAAGCATTTGCATTAAATCAATAAAATCACTTACTATAGAGCAGTTTAACAATTCATTTGATTTTCTCTTTTCTATATATTTGATAGCCACTCTTCAAAACAGTATACACTTTATGCCTATTTTCTTTAGCAACAACACTGCCAGTTAAATTCTACCACCTGCAATAATTAGAGCCATTGGAAAACATACAAAACAAAATATACAGTAGATGCGAGCCCCTCTTGAATCCACGGCCCCCTGCGGCAACGAGTTTCATTGGTGCCTTAAGCTAAGGCTGGTAGGAAGCCAAAGAATCTGTATATTACAATAAAGTGCATGTTATTAAGGGGAGGATTTAAATGATTTCAGATGGAGTTGGAAATATTATAGAGAGGAACCACTATTAAGATTGCTGATTTAAAAAAAAATTCACCAAGGAATCTAGTTTTATGTTTAAGGAAGCTTAACCTTGAATAGCACAATGGGTTTTATTTGGGGGCTTTTTTACTTAGAGAAAAGTTAGTGGTTGGAATTTTTAACCCTGAGCTAGCCGGAGGTAGTGTGAGTCTGTGTGCTGGAGTCAAGGTTACTGGGCAAGAGAAGCTCAGGGGGATCTGGTATCAACTGTAATCATGGCAAACGGGATAAAAAAACATGTTGAAGCTATTTTACTTTCTACTTCCAAGAATCAACTATGATTAAGGGATAAAGGAAAAAACCCAACAAAACAGGCTAGCTTCTCAAAGTAGCATTTCCTACCACATCTCTATTCTCTGTTCCTCTTTGGATCTGTTTCTTAAGCATATGCTACCCCAGCACGACTGAGGTGGTTATGCCCAAGCCCCAGGTCTGCCTAATCCCAAACCATACGCAGGCAGGGACCTTCAGCTCCAGGACGGAAGCTCTGGACTTTTCAATATGCAGTTTTCCTTTTCAGCTGCAGCAGGAGCACAGCTCCAGCTGGGCTGCACGACGGCTGCATGGAAGCAGGGCTCGCGGCGCTGGAAGGGAGCGCTCCATTGTTTGGAAAGAATAAAACCTTCCCAGGAAAGTCTGGCCCGTGGACAGGACCAATGTCAACAGACTGACAATGTTGTTCTTTTTTGTAGACCGTGACACAGACGGTGAAGAGTTGTTACACTCCTCCACCAAAAAAGCCTGTTTCGAGTGTCATGGCACTTCCCGGGGCTAAACCACTCCATGGCTACCTGACTTGGGAGAAACAGGACACTTTGCTGGACACTTCCAAAACCACACCGTGTATTCCAGGGCATGCTCAATCCAGCCTGGGGTGTCAGTGACCTTACTGTCTGCTGCTATGGGCAAACTGAGTTAAGGGGCATCAAGCTCATTTTTTACCTCTGCAGAGCCATCCCCCACCAGTACATGAGCCCTCAGGCACAGCCTGCGAGCTAACACAGTTGCAGACACATCTATCCTGGAAACAGTAAAGGTGATCCCCACGTAGTAGAGGAAAAAAATGACCAGAGATGCCAGATGAGCAAGGCAGCACTGCCACTGCCCATGCTGAGCCTGCTCAGAGGCAAAATTAAGCCGGTTCCTCCCCTCCACCACCAGCCCGGCACCTCGCAGAAGCACCAAAGAACTGCCCAAGTTAAATTTTCCATTCATATCATGTTTTAGGAGGTGTGTGGGGGGGAATATTGTATAATAAACTGACATATTTTATTCAAGTTTCAGAGTCCTATTTGTAATAAAAAATTTATATGGCTGGGTTGTGTTCATGCAATAAATTTTTCATCTATAATTTTGGGCATGGATTCTACCAAAGATTTATATACATTAAGAAAAAAAAAATCTAAATCATGCTCCTTTATATACAGTCTTATGTGGTGAGCTTAAGGGATTTACAAACAGAAACCAGCACCAGGACTGGGGCTTTTTTACACTCACTTTCCCTTCATTATACATCATAATATAAACACATAGGGATTGCTCCA